AGTAGTAGTAGTAGTAGTAGTAGTAGTAGTAGTAGTAGTAGTAGTAGTAGTAGTAGTAGTAGTAGTAGTAGTAGTATAGTAGTAGTAGTAGTAGTAGTAGTAGTAGTAGTAGTAGTAGTAGTAGTAGTAGTAGTAGTAGTAGTAGTAGTAGTAGTAGTAGTAGTAGTAGTAGTAGTAGTAGTAGTAGTAGTAGTAGTAGTAGTAGTAGTAGTAGTAGTAGTAGTAGTAGTAGTAGTAGTAGTAGTAGTAGTAGTAGTAGTAGTAGTAGTAGTAGTAGTAGTAGTAGTAGTAGTAGTAGTAGTAGTAGTAGTAGTAGTAGTAGTAGTAGTAGTAGTAGTAGTAGTAGTAGTAGTAGTAGTAGTAGTAGTAGTAGTAGTAGTAGTAGTAGTAGTAGTAGTAGTAGTAGTAGTAGTAGTAGTAGTAGTAGTAGTAGTAGTAGTAGTAGTAGTAGTAGTAGTAGTAGTAGTAGTAGTAGTAGTAGTAGTAGTAGTAGTAGTAGTAGTAGTAGTAGTAGTAGTAGTAGTAGTAGTAGTAGTAGTAGTAGTAGTAGTAGTAGTAGTAGTAGTAGTAGTAGTAGTAGTAGTAGTAGTAGTAGTAGTAGTAGTAGTAGTAGTAGTAGTAGTAGTAGTAGTAGTAGTAGTAGTAGTAGTAGTAGTAGTAGTAGTAGTAGTAGTAGTAGTAGTAGTAGTAGTAGTAGTAGTAGTAGTAGTAGTAGTAGTAGTAGTAGTAGTAGTAGTAGTAGTAGTAGTAGTAGTAGTAGTAGTAGTAGTAGTAGTAGTAGTAGTAGTAGTAGTAGTAGTAGTAGTAGTAGTAGTAGTAGTAGTAGTAGTAGTAGTAGTAGTAGTAGTAGTAGTAGTAGTAGTAGTAGTAGTAGTAGTAGTAGTAGTAGTAGTAGTAGTAGTAGTAGTAGTAGTAGTAGTATAGTAGTAGTAGTAGTAGTAGTAGTAGTAGTAGTAGTAGTAGTAGTAGTAGTAGTAGTAGTAGTAGTAGTAGTAGTAGTAGTAGTAGTAGTAGTAGTAGTAGTAGTAGTAGTAGTAGTAGTAGTAGTAGTAGTAGTAGTAGTAGTAGTAGTAGTAGTAGTAGTAGTAGTAGTAGTAGTAGTAGTAGTAGTAGTAGTAGTAGTAGTAGTAGTAGTAGTAGTAGTAGTAGTAGTAGTAGTAGTAGTAGTAGTAGTAGTAGTAGTAGTAGTAGTAGTAGTAGTAGTAGTAGTAGTAGTAGTAGTAGTAGTAGTAGTAGTAGTAGTAGTAGTAGTAGTAGTAGTAGTAGTAGTAGTAGTAGTAGTAGTAGTAGTAGTAGTAGTAGTAGTAGTAGTAGTAGTAGTAGTAGTAGTAGTAGTAGTAGTAGTAGTAGTAGTAGTAGTAGTAGTAGTAGTAGTAGTAGTAGTAGTAGTAGTAGTAGTAGTAGTAGTAGTAGTAGTAGTAGTAGTAGTAGTAGTAGTAGTAGTAGTAGTAGTAGTAGTAGTAGTAGTAGTAGTAGTAGTAGTAGTAGTATAGTAGTAGTAGTAGTAGTAGTAGTAGTAGTAGTAGTAGTAGTAGTAGTAGTAGTAGTAGTAGTAGTAGTAGTAGTAGTAGTAGTAGTAGTAGTAGTAGTAGTAGTAGTAGTAGTAGTAGTAGTAGTAGTAGTAGTAGTAGTAGTAGTAGTAGTAGTAGTAGTAGTAGTAGTAGTAGTAGTAGTAGTAGTAGTAGTAGTAGTAGTAGTAGTAGTAGTAGTAGTAGTAGTAGTAGTAGTAGTAGTAGTAGTAGTAGTAGTAGTAGTAGTAGTAGTAGTAGTAGTAGTAGTAGTAGTAGTAGTAGTAGTAGTAGTAGTAGTAGTAGTAGTAGTAGTAGTAGTAGTAGTAGTAGTAGTAGTAGTAGTAGTAGTAGTAGTAGTAGTAGTAGTAGTAGTAGTAGTAGTAGTAGTAGTAGTAGTAGTAGTAGTAGTAGTAGTAGTAGTAGTAGTAGTAGTAGTAGTAGTAGTAGTAGTAGTAGTAGTAGTAGTAGTAGTAGTAGTAGTAGTAGTAGTAGTAGTAGTAGTAGTAGTAGTAGTAGTAGTAGTAGTAGTAGTAGTATAGTAGTAGTAGTAGTAGTAGTAGTAGTAGTAGTAGTAGTAGTAGTAGTAGTAGTAGTAGTAGTAGTAGTAGTAGTAGTAGTAGTAGTAGTAGTAGTAGTAGTAGTAGTAGTAGTAGTAGTAGTAGTAGTAGTAGTAGTAGTAGTAGTAGTAGTAGTAGTAGTAGTAGTAGTAGTAGTAGTAGTAGTAGTAGTAGTAGTAGTAGTAGTAGTAGTAGTAGTAGTAGTAGTAGTAGTAGTATAGTAGTAGTAGTAGTAGTAGTAGTAGTAGTAGTAGTAGTAGTAGTAGTAGTAGTAGTAGTAGTAGTAGTAGTAGTAGTAGTAGTAGTAGTAGTAGTAGTAGTAGTAGTAGTAGTAGTAGTAGTAGTAGTAGTAGTAGTAGTAGTAGTAGTAGTAGTAGTAGTAGTAGTAGTAGTAGTAGTAGTAGTAGTAGTAGTAGTAGTAGTAGTAGTAGTAGTAGTAGTAGTAGTAGTAGTAGTAGTAGTAGTAGTAGTAGTAGTAGTAGTAGTAGTAGTAGTAGTAGTAGTAGTAGTAGTAGTAGTAGTAGTAGTAGTAGTAGTAGTAGTAGTAGTAGTAGTAGTAGTAGTAGTAGTAGTAGTAGTAGTAGTAGTAGTAGTAGTAGTAGTAGTAGTAGTAGTAGTAGTAGTAGTAGTAGTAGTAGTAGTAGTAGTAGTAGTAGTAGTAGTAGTAGTAGTAGTAGTAGTAGTAGTAGTAGTAGTAGTAGTAGTAGTAGTAGTAGTAGTAGTAGTAGTGGTAGTAGTAGTGCGAAAAGCAGAATACTTTAATATGTTTATACGTAAATAACTGTTTTAAGGAATCATATGCATTACTGATAAGGAGTATTAGTTGACCAATAAATAAGTAGTGTTTTCAAATGCATTGGAATGACAAAAAGAAGACAAAGAAAGAACGAAATAAAAATTTATTCCATTCTAATGTGATCAAATTATTGATGTGAAATGAATATAATAAAAGGAAAGCAATGTGTTTTTATTTTAAATTTGCTATTCATTTCAACTGGTTGAAACCATAAGTTAATTGAAGCTAGACCACCATGGAAAACCTGGAAACACTGGTCTAGCTTCAATTGACTCATGATTTCAACCAGTGAAATTTCCAAAATCTCCACAAAATCGCTTCTGATATTCATTCAACGTTATGAAACTCTTTCTAATAATTAAAAAAAAATCTAGTTAAAATTTGTCACATATTTGTCTAATACAATAAACATTAGAGTTAAATATTTAAGATATCTGCTGAATATAATAAAAATAATAGTATTATTAATAAATAACTCATTATTATCAAAGTAGACAATATGTGCAAACAAAATAACGATGTAACAAACAATCTTAGCACTACTGAAGTGCTCAGCATAAGTAGAAAACTGTAGACATTTTATAGATATTAATGAGAGAAAAGAATACTGAATACTTTAAAGGTTATCAGTCAATCAAGAACTCAAGGAGGCGTTAAAAAGTTCAGAAAGAGACGAAGATATTCTATCCAGTCATCTTTTGGAAGAATATTCCAGAATCCCTACGTGTAGCTTCCCTATTAGACAAATGTTAATAACCCTCTGTATAAGGATTGGAGAACTATAATGATGATTTCGTTTTTATTAAAAACTATGAATACCTGACAGTTTTGTACCATAAATGACACCATTCGGAATAGCACTCCTTTCACTTCTCTTCTGTCTTCTCATTTGCGATTTAAGAGGGTTCTAGCGTTCAAGTGCTCAAGTTATACGCGACATATTAAGAATCTAGGCTCTAGACATAACAATGTTATTCACCCATTAAACAATTGAGAAAGGAATAAAAACAGGAAAACTTATTATAATGCGAGTTTTATAATTCGAATTTTAATCAAAACCGATAGGGCTACCGATAACTTTCCAGCGTAGAAAGTATTGGAAAAGATTTGGGTGTTAGGGTAGAGTTGACTAGGTATTACTAGTGCTTGATTCGTATAATTTATGCATGTTCTGAGACCTGAAGGTTCTCAGCTTCACCTCATATGCGGTTATGAATGCACACAATGAGAAGATAAAACAAACAAGAAATAGCAGTCTGGTGTTTGTCAGTTTTTTAACAGTTCTTAGGCTAGTCTAATTAAATGATGAAATCTTAGAAACACTCTTCACAAACAGACTGTTTACATAGATTTTAGAACCTTTTAGAAAATAAGAATCATTTCAGTCATCTATACCTATGTTCTGAAATAGCAGATGAATTGTGCCAATTCTATTGTATTCGAACAATTACTAAAATCAGTGATTCTGGGTTCCTGCCTTCATTTAAATATCTCTTGGACCAGAACTCACGTCAATTAGTATCGTCACGGTTGAGATGTCAAAGAAATATAATTTTTGTTACTAGTTCGCAATCACTCAGCAGGTCAATCAGTTATATGAAATGTAGAACCTTGACACATGAGTACATCAATGGAATTGTCATAGTCTATTCACTCAGTTGGAATTTAAATATAATCTTTGACATCAATGAACACCATAGTTTACTTTCATTTCTTATTTACAAACATGGTGAGAAATTGTACGTGTAAAAGTCAATTCTAGGAAATATATACCTATATCTATGTAAGTAAACACTCACTCCAAAATATGACCATAAAGCAAATGAACAAACAAGTAATAGATTATGCAAATGATTCCCGAGAAAAGGAAGGAAAATTATCATCAAGTGAATGTAGGTCAAATTCCAAGTAAAAAGGAAATATTTATTTAGGAAAAAAGGGTAATTTTTGTACACAAAGGTCAGTATGAAACTAACGGGGCAAAACTTCTTGTAACAAGAACAACAACAAAACGAAAAGTTAACCAATGTTCTGCGGAAAAAAAATTAAAAAGCAACAGAAGGCAAAAGATACCTTAGTAATAAAAGAAGGGAATGGAAAGAAAATTCCATACACCAATAAAATAAATCAAGTTACTTAATCAAAACTTACTTTAAATAGTATATCAGTACACATTGCTTTACCATGCGTGATTATTGGTTCTTGATCTTCACCTCGACCATCCCAACAATCCAATTCAATACATCTTGAAATGACGACAGGAAAAATTGAAAATTATGTAATAAAGTGTAGTAAAAAAATTACAGTACAACCATAAGTAATTTACATCAATCTTCGTTCCCAGTGTAAAATACGAACTCAGAGAATCAGACAGATACACATACAAGCACAGGATTTATTGTGGAAGTTATAAAAGTTAACGTAACAGAAAATGGAAGTTATTGTTCGCGTCTACGAGCACATTTCTTAGTAATTAGGATCAATTAGTCGACATGCTTTCTCCTATGTAGTCGCTTGTCATCTACTTAGAGACATACCACTAGCATTTCAAAATCATCAATAAACAAACAATTTGAAACTTCTTGCATTTTACCGAATCTATCACTTTCAAAAAACATAAATCAGATGCACACGTTCTAAAGGATAATGCTGTCAGTCTTGCACTACCATGAGGACCTCAATTACGAACACTTAGTTCTGTAACAGTTAATTCATTTTTGCAATTACACACTCACTTTCTTCATCCTTTCTTGAGTTTTAAGTTTCAGTTATCGAACACTTATAATAAATTCTATCTTTTGTAGCTTTTATTAAATTACATTTAACATAAAATGTTTCCCAGTTACCCATATTCACGAACATTTACTTTCAGAATATCTACAGTATTTGACGTATTCCATTAAGGCAAAGGCCTCTCGTTATTTTTACATACTTATCATCACCCTTAATTACACCTCACTGATGAGAACGTTTCTGGTATTGCGACATAAAATATGTTTACTGCTAATACTATTATTTTCTAAACTATGAGTAGCTGAAAAGAATCCATGAAATAAATGAATTTGCACTGTTTAATCATCTTTTTTCTTGCTTCATTTAAAATTTATAAATGGGAAAAGTTGTATGAAATATCAACATTCAATTCGTGTGGATACATGTGTGCATGTGTATAGTTTTTTATGTAAGGTGATTTGTTTTAACTAACACTTGGAACAGATGAATTTTCTGAAAAGACTCAAAGAGTTTAGCTTTTATACGGTCGAATGTTAAGTACCACATTCACAATAGTTATTTTGATCATCACTATTTATCTGAAATACAGAAAGAAATAGTCCATGTAACTGTTTTGTTATGTGTTTCTAAATCAAAGTCATTCAAAATTATTTCTTCATAAAATAAACTCATGTATAATCGCTTATAAAGAGAGCCAAAAACATGAATCATGTTAACTAACTAAATAACAGGAAGCATGATGAAAGATCAAAAGATTACAGTGAGGATCATGATAAATGAACAAAAGAACTACATAATAAAATGAAATAGGTATTACAGAAAAAAATGTAGATCTAATCACTTTAGTATATGCTATGTTGGACAAAACAAGCTAAGTATCCTACTTGTATATCTGCTATAAGGAGATGTAGTACACTTGAATTCAATATATAAACTAGTAATTCCGACAACTATTGAACCCATACTCTAGTAGTCACGAGTGAACCAGAATTTATTTTGAAGATAAAGCAATCAACACACACATGAAAGTATTATATCGTAACTAGAATTAGGTACATCAAAACGTACAAATTAATCATCATTATATCCAAATATCAGATTCCTCTTCATAAATATTTATTATTTAATTGAAAGTTAATTTTATCAGGTAGTCAACCGGTTTTTTCAATAAATTTATAATAAGGAAATAAAGATAAGGTATAGAAAAGTGAGAATAGTTCATTTATGAAACATCATTTATCGATGGATGTGGAAAGGAAAGATTTTGTGCATAAACCAAATATATGATCAAATTTCCATTAATTAGTGAAAGAAGGTTTGGATTACTGCTAAGAAAACTAAATTAATTAGTTAAGCGTTAGTTTCAAATTCGATCCCCAAACACAAATATAACAGACTTAATGAATAAACTAATTAAATAAAAAACAATGAATGTTAAGTAGGTGATGGTTTGAACAAAATAACGTTCTATTTTATAACTATCAATTGGTTTACGAAACTAATTTTAAACAATTATACCTATACAAGTGAACGCATCAAGAAAAATTCTACAAAGGTAATTATAAGTGACAAATAAGTAGAACAGTAAAGCGATACCATTATATTAGTCGTCTGTCAACAATTTGTTTGCAGATTTGAACCCGTGTCTTCTGACTACGACTTCAGTGATCAGAAAATAGTAACATTCATTCAAAAATGTAGTTCTACACTGAGTTATTTAATTTTCTTTATACAGCTAAGTTACGCTAAGCACTGAAGATAAACGGATAGGTCAAACAATATAAAAATAATCCAAACATTAGTAAACTTAATTCATTGGGATATACGTTAGAAAGTTACTTCACCTACCAAAACTTTAGTGGACATATATAGTCAATTAATATGTTATAAATCTTTACTTTAAAATTATTTACGTACAGCTATAATTCTAATCAAACATACAATCACGCAAATACTAGAATGAGCTGTCGACCAGCTAAGAAGTGTAGAAAACTATTGAATACGTTCAGAAGATGTCATAAAACTGGGAAATAAAAACACCTGAAAATTAAAAAAAACACCGACTTTCAGTTGGCTTCTTATGATTTATTGTATTTACTATAGTATTTCTTTTTCATAACGCTTCAAGAACAGCAATGTTCGCGAAAATTAATGATCAATGAACAAAAATGAAAATGGGAATTACAGAGGTAAGGGGTAAACAAAAACAACGTGAATAACAACAATGTTGGTAATAATAAGGTGCAATCAAAAGCAGCCAACATCTTTCAAGTTTATACACAAGATTTATAAAAGGTTAGGTGTTAGTTGGATTGAATAATAAGGATAAGATGAAATGGGCAACCAATAAGTGACCACTGTCGACTAATACTGAGCACGTTTTCTTCAAAAATTTTGGAACTATTACGTCGAAATGATTAGACGTTGAGTAATTATACAGTAGTGTATGCTAATTATATCGACATACATAAGTACTATGTAACACTGATCTGAAGTGGAATGCTTGCCAGTGGAATGTACACTTTCAACAGAGAAATAAACAATAACACTATATTTTAAAACAATAAAATTTCATATTTACTTTTTAGAAAGTATAACTGTACGTAAAAATAACAGAGGAAGAAAAAAGAAAAAAGATTGAAGAGAACATTCACAGACCTACAGCAACAAATCTATTTTGACAGCTAAGTATGCAAGGTTGAATTGGTGATAAAGTGATATATTTTTAAACGAATAAAAGGTTGAGAAAATAGTCCTGTTTACACAGTTGTGTGACAACATGCTTACACATTTTAGTGAATAGATAGAAAGAGCGAGAAAAGCATGTATATACTGATATATAAAACTGAAGTTCATCAAAGTATACTATACACTTTCATTCGTATAAATTAAGTTATAATAAAATTCAAAAAAACGCCATACTAAATGATTTTCCAGCTTTTTTTCACTACAATAACCCATTGTTCGAGTAGATAAATGCAATTGTTGCTAACATTTTAATTACAATTCAAGATCATTACTTCTGTATGGTATTAGTGTAACATATGGAGTGGTAGTCTAATTGGTTGGAGCACTTCATTATTATCAACAACCGGACACTTCACCTCAACTACATTCAGTAGATCAGTCTAAAAAGAGGGAAGTTAGTATTGCTAGTCCTTAAACTATACCTACAGCAAAAAATGTAATAAAGAAACATAAGTGTGTCTATTATTTTAATGTAAATAACTTAAACTCGCTACAAACTGGAAGCTAATGACAATTGCAATAGATAATCCTGAATTAAAACTAAAATAAAAACTAGCTTACCGACAACCAGCCAGTAATACTTGTCGATACATTTCAACAGATGATTTACCACCAAATTGTCGTCCAATCAAATAGGTATTATGTGATGAATTAATATAATAATGACTGAGTGGTTGATCCATATCTTGATAAATATCTAACTTGTCCAAAAATACACATGCATTATCATCAGACATTAAATAACGATAAAAGCATTCAATGGATACCTCATCTGTGGATTAAAAAAATAAAAAATAAAAAGGAGAATAAATAAGGTGAATAAAAAAGAACAACAACGAGAAGAAAGAATTTAACCAAACGATAAAATATAATGAAATAAGTGATTTTTCAGACTATGATTACAACAGAAGGTAAGAAGTTTACGTCATACATTTGTTTGTAATACGGGGTAGAAGAGAAACTAAACGTTAGATTAGAAATTAGGTTGCAAAAGCCTTCTAATCTAAATAACAGTATTAATATACACGCTTGTAGGAAAGAAATCAAATATGATTACGTTTTGAAAGAAACAGTTTCATTTTGTGGAATCAGTGTCTGTGTGTATGAAGTTTCGTGATGAGATAACGTTTAATCACTATCATGTAACTACAAATTAATGTCCATTTAAATATTGTATCTAGTAGATAGTGTATGTAATACCAGTTAAAAAATCAACCCAGTTTAACTTCAGAAAAAAATATTTAGAAAAACCGAATCGTATTGATGACATAATAATTAATAATATTACGAACACTTTTTAAAGCTACTGAATTATTAAATATTTATAATTTATACGAATAATTATTGATTACTGAAACAGCTTCAGATGAAACTTTAATCTGACCATATATGACAAACATTCACATTGATAAAGGATATCAAAGCCAAAACTACAATTATTAAAACGTTACAAAGGTATGGAAAATTAGACAAACGTCTCCAGAGTTAGTCGTTGAGCAATACAACAGTCGATCACCTTGTGAACCGTCTTCAACCGAGATTATATATAATCTTACAATTGACCAGTTTATAATATGGAGTCAGTTGACAAAGTTATCGGGTGTGGATTGTTAATGTTGACTTGTATGTTGGCCATCTCAGGATACTCATAGAAATGTTCCATAAATATGATCACATTCTCTATCTTCCACTAAACTTTAAGCGTTGAATTGTTTCATAATTTTCACATCATGATTTTACCCACTATTTTCTAAGTACATTCTCGAAGTTTAGTAGTCATCCCGACGAATACTATATTCCTGATTTATTGGTCGTCCATACTACCTATTTGCCGTCTTAATGTGCCAATTAGCTGGTGTGAGAAATTGATGAGATACAGATTTTTGAAAATCCATTATAAACAAAAGGAATATACGATTGAAAATGTTTTCCTTCCAGACTTACCAGTATTTTTGAATTCTTCTTGTGTTTCATAATTTTCTTGGATATACTTAATAGTTTGTTTGTTAGCAAATGGATAGAGAATTTCATTTAGGCGAGGGTCACGTTGAGTCTATGAAAATAAAAGCAGACAAAAATGAAACATAAAACCAAATGGAATGTATTGGTAGCATAAAAAATAGCAAATTGCCAGATTGATAAATATGTATAACTTGAGAAGTAACAAACAGCACTTTGGCACTGTTTTGCTATTGATAACCTATCCAATTGAACGGTTGTTTCAATCAAAATAACTACTGAAAATAAGGAATTTCTCCATAGCAATTAAAAACAGAAACAATTGTCCATTTATTTACAATTTTTTTGCTTTCTGATAAGCTAGAAATCTTGTGTACCTCGATATTTGATTTCCTTTCCATGAATCACCATATTTCTGATAGAATCTTAAATGTTTCCAGTTATTGTAAGCAGAGATAAATGATGGCTAGTAGTGGAATCCAGGAAACATGTTTCATCTTATTTGAGACAAGTCAGCTGGATGTACCTGCATGGTTATTGTTTTACAAATTTTAGGTACTTATAATAGTTGAGAACTGTAGTTCGTTCTTTTCCATGAACTATGAGCAGTTTTATAATTGAAGTACCTATATATAATTAAAGGCAATACTAACAATATTCTGTGGTTAAGAAGTTTACATAAATTACCAAACATGTTAGTCAGAAACAAAACATGAAGTTACCAATCAATAAATTACAAACACAATACAATTTTAATTAAGATCATAAACTGATCAAGGTTAGACCATCATACAATTATCCCTATTGATAAATTTAACTAAACCAAGAGCAACTAACGTAACAGAATAGTATGGATTCCTTTTATTTTCCTATTTCTCATCAATTGCATCCGGTCTAAACATAATAGTATTAATTATCGAAAACCAGTGTACATAGTTTATGAACCATAATATCGGAGAAGTTTTCATGAATGAAGAAAAATGAAAAGAGATAATAAATATAAAGAAACTTTATGAGATGTCTATATATTAAATGTGAAGATTTATGGGTTGAATACGTGAATCAACAAATAAGAACATAGAAACAGAATTATTTAGAAACGAAATAATGTTATTAGTTAAGCAACTCTAAAAATAAAAGTAACTAACTGGGTGGAGATCAGATAAGAAGTTGGAATTTATAGTGTTGTGGAAAGAAACAAATTGTATAACAAACATTTATGAATAACTTCGCCATGGCAAATCAGGGATAGTAACTAAGACTTTTGGAATGCATCAGTTTGGTTTAAGTCTCTCCATGCCAATTGCTTCAGTGGAACGCAGTAAATTCGAAATTAGTTAGCAATCGTTAAGGGATTTGAGACATTGACACTATAATTACTGTCAAGCAAATGGTGTGCAAAAGCACTGATGAAAGCATGTCCCCAATCAAGTTTAAGTTATCATAGAATATGCTAAGAGATTTGGACAATAGCTTTCTCATAACCTATGCGTTTTGGTGAACACACAAACTGGTAGACAAAACTGGAAAACAAATAGCGTGGGAATTTGTCCACATATGACCGTCTCAAAGATCAATTTGTTTATACAGAGAGATTAGCCCGTTAGCTGGCCTATGATCTAATATTTCATCAACCTTGAAACTAAACCTCAGGAAAACAGGCATTTTCTCAACCACAGCGTACTTTATTCCCTGCATTTTAATCTTACTTTCTTACGCCTGTTACCTCCAATGGAGCATTGGCCGCCGACCAGCATCCTCCAACCCACTCTGTCCTGGGCCCTCCTTCATAGTTCTATCGAATTGTTGTTCATTTTTCTAATGTCTGTCTCCGTTTCTCGACGTAATGTGTTCTTTGGTCTTCCTCTCCCTTTTTGACCTTCACGATCCCATGTGAGGGCTTGCCTTGTGACGCAGTCGGGTGCCTTCCTTAATGTGTCTTATCCACTTCCAGCACTTCTTCCTGATTTCTTCCTCCGCTGGGATCTATTTTGTTCTCTCGCATAGTAGATTGTTGCTAATAGTGTCTAGCCAACGGATCCGAAGTATCTTGCGTAGATAGCTGTTAATAAACGCTTGTATCTTCTGGATGATAGCTTTTGTAGTCCTCCAAGTTTCAGGCCCCATACAGTAGAACTGTCTCAACATGTGTAACGGGAATTCTCACCTTGGTGTTGGTTGACAGTTGTTCTTCAGTTGTAAATATACTGCTCTTGCTTTGCCGATTCGTGCCTTCACATCTGCATCAGGTCCACCGTGTTCATCAATGATGCTGCCCAGATATGTAAAGGTTTTTACATCTTCCAAATCTTCTAAGTAAAGTGCGATTCGATTTCTGCATGCTGTGTCGTATCTCAAAATCTTTCTATTCCCTTCGTGTATGTTGAAACCTACTGCTGCTACACTGGTTGTCTTCTCCTGTATTAGTTGTTGCGTTTGCGATAAGAAGGCCAGAACATCTGTGAAGTCTAGATCGTCCAACTGCATCCTAGATGTCCACTGTATCCCGTGCTTCCCTTCAGATGTCGACGTCTTCATGATCCAGTCGATCACCAGGAGAAAGAGAGAAAGGTCGAGAGTAAGCAACCTTGCCTAACACCGGTCTTCACTTCGAACGAGTCTGTCAATTGTCCTCCATGCACGATTTTGCAGTTTAGTCCATCATAGGAATTCTGTAGTGTCGAAGAAGCTTCCATAGTGTTGTTCTTTCCATGCTATCAAATGCCTTTTCGTAGTCAATGAAGTTGATGTAGAGTGATGAATTCCATTCAATTGATTGTTCCACAATGATCCGTAGAGTTGCGATTTGGTCTGTACACGATCGGTCCCTACAGAATTCAGCCTGTTGGTCTCAAAGTTGTTCATCTACGGAATCCTTCATTCTGTTTAACAATACCCTGTTGAAGACTTTTCCTGGTATTTAGAGAAGAATGATGCCCCTGTAGTTAGCATACATGCTGAGATCACCTTTCTTCGGCTTTTTGGTCAGAACTCCTTTTTTCCAGCCTGTTGGTACTTGTTCTTCATCCCAAATCTTGCTGGAGAGAGTGTGGAGTATCGTTGCAGTTACTACCACATCTGCTTTCAGTGCCCCTGTTGTAGTGTTGTCTGCCCCTGCTGCTTTGTCGATCTTGATTTGTCTGATGGCCATGCTGATCTTTTCAATTGTTGGTGGGCCAACATCGATTAAGAGGTCTGTGGCTGCTACTTCGATGTTGGGTGGGTTCAGTGGGGCTGGTCGATTCAAGAGTTCTTTGAAGTGTTCTACCCACCTGTTTTGTTGTTCTTCAATGTTGGTGACTACCTCGCCTTCCTTGCTTTTCACTGGTCGTTCTGGTTTACGGTGATTTCCAGAGAGTTTCTTTGTTGTGTCATACAATTGTCTCATGTTTCCTTCTCTTGCAGCCTTTTCCGCCGTCGTTGCTAAATCTTCCACATATTTACGTTTGTCGGTTCTGATGCTCCTCTTCACTTGTTTGTTTACTTCTGTGTATTCAGCTTGTGCCTTGGCTTTTTCTGCTCTTGTTCGACTAGTATTGATTGCTGCTTTCTTGTTCCTCCTTTCTTGAATCTTATCCAGTGTATTAACAGTGATCCATTCCTTGTGATGGTGCTTCTTGTGACCCAGGACCTCATGACATATTAAAGTGATTGCCTTTTTGATCCTCTTCCAGTTGCTCTCCATAGTAGTTCCTTCTCCATTTAGTGGACCATGAAAGGCCTGGAACTTAATGCTGAGGATTATCTTGAATTTGTCAGTATCTCGAAGAAAAGCCGTATTAAACTTTTGTGATGTTGTCCGCCCCGTTGTCCAGTACTTCTTGAGTTCCAATTTCATCTTGGCGACCAGCAAGTGATGATCTGAGGCTATATCAGCCCCTCTTTTGGTTCCCACATTCTCCATAGTCCTCCTGAACATTTTGTTGATGCAGATATGGTCGATTTGGTTCTGCATAGTGTGATCAAGTGAAGCCCATGTGCTTTTGTATATGCGTTTGTGTAGGAATATAGTGCTGCCTATGACCAGTTTATTGAAGGGACAGACTTGCAAACTCACACCATTTTTGTTTCTTTCTCCCAGTCCATGTCGTCCCATGATGTCTCCATATCCGGTGTTGACCATTCCAACCTTGGCGTTTAGGTCTCCCATCACAATGGTCAAGTTCTTACATTTTAGTCGCTTAATACTCAATTATAATGAGAAACCGGTATATAAAATGAAGCCATGTTCTTCCACTAAGTTTATTTTCTTATTTTAGTCAAATCACAAACCTTTTACTAATTCTTTAGTTAAGGGTAATCAAAACCAAACCTAACCGGACTTCTTTCAAGGTTTCTCACAAAAGAGATCAGATATTAGAGAAAAGAAAAGTAAGTTACTTATAAAAATCAAAAAGGCAGCACACATCAAACTATATTCTCAGTGTAGAGGAAAACGTGATAAGAACACTAAATATCCAGTAAGTGAATGGCACGATAATATTTTAATACAAATCCTCATCCAGAAGCATGAAAAAGTGTCTTTCAAAATAGTGAAGTTATTAATGATGTGACGATAAAAAATATTTTAGAAAATGAATGATATTGCAGAAATATTCTAAGCTATAATTTGGAAAACAAACTATCATCAATGTAAGAAAGCAGTTTTATAAAACCTAAGTGACAAAAATCGTGTTTCATATATATATATATATATATATATATATATATATATATATATATAGCCCCCAAATGCCCAGGAACGGTCGAGTGTGGGGACAGTCAGCTCCCCCTCTCAAAATGCTCTTCAGTGGCCACGTGCATACAACCACTGCCAGGAAAGTCCTACTCATTGTCTTCTCACGGTGGGAGTGTTGTTTACGAAATTGAGAGGACAAAACGCGAATGTCCGGCGCTTTAACCGAGTTGGTGGGTATAGAGGGTTCACCTAGTGGAGTTGGAAATCCCTGATTCCAAGCTAATAGTGTACATGGGTTCCATGATCCTGATGGAAAAAATGGCGTATGAACCTATTGTCTTCCACCGGCTACCATGTGACCACATCTCGTGACGTTGCTCCACTGCCTTGTGAATTAGACCTTAAGGTCAAAGGCTCGGAGTGCGGCCGCCTAAGAAAACCGCCTGCTTCCGTTTGGGCAGCCGGGTAGTATCCCAGCTCTCACATAAATCGAATAATTTATGTGGCTCATATCTATTTGGTGCCTCCTGGTATCAATGTTTATGTGTTTAAATAAATAAATACATAGAGAGAGTGAAAGGTAAGCTACACTGAACACCTGGCTAGTCCAATCTGTTACATGAGGATAAACCAAAGAGTTTCGACGAATCGAATCGTTTTAGGATTCTTTTTATAAATAATTAAAATTAACCGTGAGAATAAAGTTTAAAAACTGATTAATAAAATAAATTCAAATAATAATAACAATAATATCGTCAAAATCATGAACCAATCTAAGTTAGACAACCACTGAAAACTTGTAAGCACTGGACGGCCATTCCGTCTTAGTATGTGACTTCGCAGTAGTGCAAATCAACAACTCCATACTCATGACTCGAACCCAGCACCTCATTACTCACGCGACAACTCTTGTTCTCTAAACCACTGAGCTGGCATACACAGATGTTAATGTCTAGCTTTAATCAACCCATAACATTCTGAGACCATCTTCCAGTGGTGGACTAACTTTTCATGATTTCAATGAAATTCAACAATCTCCATAACTCCATAATAAAAATAATCATGTGCTCACTGGTGACTAGTTTCAAGAAGATGTTTCCAGAGTTCTAATGAAAAGTAGTGATCAGTGCAGCAAATTTGCATCGTGTATGAAACAGCTACTAACTGAAGACAATTGACATTGATCGCGCAATGTCGCCAATTAGATCAAGTCAGACATTAACACCGTTGTATGCCATGTCAGTGCTGTACAGGTTAAGCATTCGCGTGCAAGACCAAAAGTTCTGGGTTCGAGTCACGCATGTGGGTGCTCGCTCCTGAAGAATCCTATACTAGGATGATACTACCATCCAGTGATTCCAGGTTTTCAGTGGTGGTCTAACTTGGATCAGTTCATGATTTCAATAAAATTCAATAATTTTCACAACCTCATACTGAAGATAATACTATCGTAAGTGAATGATATCGCTTTCATACATTCAAGTTTTTTTTTTATTGTTGACTTCCCAATTACGTACAAGAAAGCTAAACTACTATACATGCAATAAATATTGAAATGTAGAAATAATATCCATAAAAAATGAGAAACATAAGCTGTTTAAATGAACTTGTATTTTAAACAAGTATGTAGTAAAACATGCTTGAAAGATTAGAACTGGAAAAAAAAAGTTAAACTATACTAAAACACTATGAAAAAGAGATATCCTGAATCTTCTATCTTGTGTACAAATTGCTCTAAATAATATATAATATTAGGCAAATTTCTGTTATCATACACTTATGTTTCATCGAAATACAATAATTGAATTCATATGCTTAACTACAAAAAGTTCTTTTTATTGTTTTGTATACACTTTTTTTTTTATAATCTAAAACAAATCGACAATCGAGTAGGCAAAAATACTTTTTTCCAATATGATATAAAGAAACTGTTATTATATATTTTTTATACATGAATTGAGCATATTACAGATTATCATTCACATAGAAATTTGTATTAATACTATTTGAGTGTTTTTCATTGAAACTATAGAGATTAAATCACAATATAACTAGTTTTATAATTAAAAAATAAATAAATACAAAACATGCTAATATCCACGATGAAGAATGTATTGACTGAGTTTGCTTTTCACTCTTTAAAAGATAGATAATGTGAAAACAGTTTTCATTAAATAATAGAAGATTTTATTTAATTGATAAGATAATATCTGATAAAAGTTAAATATTATCTTGATCCTTTCAGGAAAGTAAACTAACTAATGGAATTTCAAGAACAAACAGTTTTTTGAAGAGAAAAAAATGAGCCAGTTAATCGAATCGCATACTCTTATAATTTAAAATTGTAAGGGTTTACACTTTAGTGACTTTAACATACTAAGTTTTCCCTTAATCTGACTTTTGAAGAAGTAACTAGATTGAATTTTATTTATCAAGTATATTATGAGACGAAAATGTTATATGAACGAAACCATTAGTAAACGTTTTCGGATCAATATGAATAGCGGCCAACTATTGTAAGAAAAAAGGTTATTTTAACAAATATTTACAAGTTAGAAAAGCGTAAGACTGAAGTTTGCTGTAATATTCCATGTGTGTTGTGCAGAGAATTACTTACGATAACCAGACACATGCTATTGAATAAAGCCACTATTATTAGTCTATTAATGAAGGTTAACTACAGTCGAATAATAACGATATCATGAATGGATCAATGATAGACCACCATTGAAAACCTGGAAGCACTGGATGGCCGTTTCGTCCTTGCATTGGACTCCTCATCAGTGAGCATCCACGATCCTGCACGCGGAACTTGAGTTCGGGACCATCAATCTTGTGCGCGAAAGCTTTACCTCTAGACCACTGAGCCGTCTTCTAACGGTGTTAACGTCACGTTCAAACCAATGCACGATATTCCGTGTCCGTTTCATACTAGGACGAAACTGACGTCCAGTACTTCCAAGTTTTCGATGGCGGTCCAACATTGATCTATTCATGATATCAATTTAAACCCAACAATCTCCATAACCCTATACTGGTATTCTAATAATAAGGTTCAATAAATATCCTCTGGTGAAAGAGTGCAGATGTGCACACGTCTTCAGAGGAAAAAATAGGTTAATAAAAGCCTGGTGGCAGGAGAATTTGGGTCAGAATCGATCTAAATAACCCAGAATTACTCAGTTCTCATTATCTATACATTGAAGATCCCCATTAAATATCGTACCTCATACCGATTAATATACTTTTATTTGTCCTAATATCCTTTTAAGTTTTTGGTTTTATCATTACATGTCTACGTGAAGTACAACAAGAGGAACGTATACACCTTTATGTCAGGTAACTCCAGAGTTTTAATTTTCACAGTTTTTGCGTGATGATTCGCTAATCCCATTTATTTCCAGTTTACTTACTGAATTATCCAAAACACTTTCATATCACTAAACTATTTCACAACAAGAATAGTGAAAAAACACAAGTCAAAACTAATATACTATAAACAGTTAACTTAAAAATAATGTTCATAACAAAAACCCATTTCAAAATTAATGAATTCAATCACTGATAAAACATTTTCCATAATGCAGATATTTGTCGTCGTCAATGTATGCATTTCCTTTTAATCAAAATCTACTATTTAAATGAAAATATTTACTGTATATTTTATTTATTCAGCAACAGTTGTGTACATTTTTTATCTAGCTAATGTGTAGAAAAGTTGTTTTGCAAAGCTACTATTACTATCAGTAATTGTATTATGCGTAAACACATTACACAAAATAAATGATGTAATCTCTTTATGATCAACATTGTCAACTGTAGTTCTATTTATATATACAAGTTCAACTTAACAGGAAATAATGTCAACAAAATATTAATGATACATTTTAAAAAAACAAATTATAACCAAATCAAAACTCCTGTTTATTATTCACTAAAGTTTTAACAAATATTATCGTGTCTAATCCTTAATCCCGGTCAAGTTATATCAATGAGATTACAACATGGCCAATAGTCTAAATGACCTATTATGGCGATGTACTTTATGACATATCTTTGAGTTCAAGATAGTTGGAAGAATCTGAACACAGATTTTATTCAAGCTGAAACTCAGATGGAAATACGTGCCTACAATCTAAAGAGAACTAATGCTACACGTTGAATTTAAACATACATCATCCAGTGTCACATTTAATGACATAACCAGTAAGCGATTTGATCAATCTCTACCTAGCAGTCAATCAATTGTAAGTATATTTAGTACAAATGAGGAAAGAACGTTCTTCCTTAAGAGAAAGATCAAATACAACAATAGTAATTTGTTTAAAACAGACAATCATAAATATTACTAACTAATCAACTTACTTCATTGAGAAATTCTATCATTTTATCTGCATGTATGTGACTTTTGCCTTTTGATCTACATAAAGAAAATATAAAAACATATAAAGAACTTTCAATGAATTCGAAAGGTTAGATCACTTCAATAGAAGTAGGTATACTCACGTTTGTAGTCACATATTCATTATTATTATTTGTTAAGATATTCATTAAAGTGAAAATATATACAATGTTACAATACAATAGTTGGAGAGTGAAAGAAATCCTATTACCCGGTTAATTAAATTAAATTATATTAAGTTTTGATGGTGAAATGCAATATAAATTGAAAGCCAAAAACAGAGTCATTCTAAAAGAATTAAAATGCAAACGTCGTTAATTCGTAATTTACTCCAAAGGTGAATATTCTAAACGAATAAAAAGTTGAATTTACAATCTAACCGAAACCAGTTATCAATCACTTAGTCAGATCAATGAACTATAATTCCGAGTATAGCATAAACGTGTATCAGCTGAAGTTGTCATAATTTAAATGAATAAGATGTTAAGAAAATTTTTTTCGAAAGAATGAACAAGAAACCAAACTAATTGTAAAATTAATTAAAGTGAAAATCAAATCAACCATTCAAAGGATTTATGAAAAATTTATAACAGAATTCAAGAAGGTATATTATTATTAATACAGAAATTGATTCAATTAACATGAGTGTACTTTTGTATTTCAAATGATCTTAAACTAGTCACTTTGTTCATAATTGAATACGAATTGTATTTTTTGTTAATTTGGCTTATTTTCTATAAAACACCAGAAAATATCCATATATATTAGCTAAAACAATAAGGCGACAACTGGATAATTTTATTGCGAAAGAGAAGCATTGAAATGATTAACAATAGAAGTGAAGAGTTGTTTTTTATAGACAAGCACATTCCAATAAGCAAAAACTTATATATCGTTGAAATACGGTTTTATAAATTAATTAATCAATAATTAAGTTTTTTATTACAAGATGTAGGCTAAATCGGGAAAATAAAGCAAGACGAACTTCTACCCTAATTAATAAAATTAATACAATGTTAAAATTCTAACAACAATTATTCTAGACATGGATAACGTAGACAGAGCGCGTTAGTAAACTTGGTTTTTTTATAATTTAATGATCAATCCGAAAATATGAGACCAATAGTACACCATGATAATACACTTATCAACCGTATACGAATCAAAACGATTTTGTATAATAATTAATTAGCTAACACTATGTAATACAGTCGGTGATAGTAGAAAGTCGCTACAAATTTAGATATAAATTATTTTAATCAATTAAATAATGAAGGATAAAAACTCGATTAGTTTGAAAATGATTTTCGTAACATGATATTTTGACGGAGCACCTACGAGGCATTAGAAAGATAATTTGACCGTGTTTGCGAAACGAAAAAATTATAGCAATTCATGGTAGGTTATAGTTGATCACATATAACATTAGAAAAATAAAAGCAATAGGTGATTACTAGTGGATTTCAGACCTTATTTGATCATGAAAGATGTGCTTCATGGGAAGAATTAAGGACTATATGCATGACAATCAATCAAGTACATAATTTAGGAAAAATTGGGAATTTGCTTAGATCTTTAAAGTTGGTGAACTATTTGATAGACAGTAAAATAACGACTGGTAATAATGACGCCATACAAATGAGGGAAAACAATCGATTAAAATTTAATTCTACTAATTTACCGTATTAAATAACAATTAAAAAGGTAAATATTATGTGCAGTAATCCCTAGGGAAGTTATAAATTCTTCGTCAGTCGAAGATAGGTTAACAGCTTACAGTGAAATAAATTTAATTATTATCCAAAAAGGAAAACGTTTTGTTTTTAAATGTAAAAAGAAAAAAAAAGTATTTTAAAGGATAATCACGTTTACTTGGTATATAATAAGCGATATGACGTCTTATGATCACTGGAAACATGATATGAAAGATTTACGAATTCACAAAATTCAACTTGAAATAGTTCATAACACCTATGTCTGATGAATTTAAATTGTTCTAATGTATTTATTATAAGGTAGCAGTAATATAAGTAGTAAAGAAATATAGTGAAAATATACTCAAATAATAGCACAGAACAAGGAGAAAAATTATCTACTAACAGATAGACTTACAGAGATTTAAATAAATCTTCAATATCTGTACGAGGACATATTTTATGATATAATTCGTAGAATTTTTCAAATGGGAATTCATTTGGATCAATATCATCATTCTAAATTTTGAAAAAAAGCACGACGAATAAGAAGTAACAATAATACCAATTCTATTGAAACCATGAACAAATGTTGGAGCACTATTGAAAACCCGGAAGCACTGGGCAGCCGCTACGTCCTAGTGTCAGTTTTGAGGCAGTTACCTACCGAAGGCAATGAGAAATGGTCCAGCAACATCGTGGATTCTAGGATGAAACGACCGTCCAGCGCTTCCAGAATTCCAAAGGTGGTCTAATACTAATCGGTTCATGATTTTAATGTAACTCAACAAACTCTACAGCCCTAAACTGAAAATAATAATAATAGGAATAACAATTATCATTATCATTACAACAAGCAAGAAAATAATTTAAAGCATACCTTTCCATGAGGTAAATTTAAATCTTTTAAACTTTGATATACAATTCGTTCATTACGACCTGATGCAAATGTTTTCATAATTACACGAACCGGAATTCGATTACGAGCATTCAAAGTTAGTGTAAGTCGTAGCCAACTAAAATAGGAAAGTAATTTTTCTTTAACAAACAAATTCATAGTTGCAAAAATTAAAAAAAGACGATTTTTATCACAAATATAAACATGGATGCACACTTCTAAATTTACATTTATAAGTGTAAACATAACGCAATCAATAATGACTATTTTATATTTCAAGATGCAATTTAAAGAGTAAAGCTGAAATCTCTCTAGAGAGGACAAAAACAAATTACGCTTCCCGATACAGAACTAGCTGTATATTCACAGGTGATTATAATGAGATGACAATACAAGTTTCAATTACTTCTTGAAGTATTATTTTAAAAAAATTACATCTCATTAACAAGTCTAATTACAAAGCTATGAGGATAACCAGTTTTATCAAATGAAAATCTAAACAATACACAGTACCACATACTAAAGTAAATGAGCTATTTCTTATCCATTTATTGAAACTGTTTAAACGACAATATAATAACCACGTGTAGGTAGAATAGTAGTCTAGGTATGGTAGGATAGAATTGAAGAACAGAGAATAACAGTAATCGAAAGATGAAATGAAGAGGTATTTAAAAAAGGAACATTGAATCACAAAATACAGAGAAAGAAAGATGAAGATTGAATAAACCAGCTCCATTGTAATTGATTTTTAGCTAAATCACTCAACGTCTACAACCACTAATCTCGGTTAACACTCGCATCCCCAATAAGTGGTCTACATTTACCAAAATAACTCAAGTAAACAGTTAATGACTTTATAGACTGACTCTAGATTTTCTATTTTTAATGCCATAGATTTCTCCGAGTCCGCTTTGGTAGCAGCAAATACACTTCAGCAAGACATATGATAGTGAGGCATAAATAACATATATCGTAACCATCTCAGTCGATAAGAATACGATAACTTATCAATTATATGAATCCAGGATATTGTTGTTGTTGTTGTTTGAAATTATGTTCTACATTACAATAGCAAAATGACCATCAAGCTACTTACTCTATATGTAAAGATAAAACATTGGGAAGGAAATATCTCACTAAAATTTAGTCATCATTATTATTATTTCATTCAATAGAAATAAATTTAAATGAATATGACTTACTGTTTTCTTAATTGAGTCATAGGGCAAACATTAGCTGCTTTGGTATTATGCGTTAAACTACGAAGAGATTGTATCCAAAACTAAAAAGATATTGATAGTATAACAAAAAAACAAATATGTGAAATTTATGTAACGACCACATAGTAATAACAAAATTGAACATTGAACACGAAGTAACAAACTAAAACTAACATTTACAGTAATATCATGTTAAACAGTGAGGAAAATTTATTATTATTCATCAAAAGAGAAACTCGTAAGTCGACTATAGTGTTATTCAGGAGATTCATTAATTTCAACTACACTATTTAATTGTTATTGTAGCTGTACTAAATATCCAATTCTTCATATAGGTAAATTTATGAAGATTACAGAGTTTTTAAAGTTTAAATCCTGAATTCAGTTTAATTAGACGACTATTGAAAATATGAAAGTACTGAATAACTGTTTCACCCTAATCACCTGAGTCGCATTTGGATCCAAGTGTTAATCGAGATTGGTGGTTGAAGATGTTGAGTAATTTAACCTAAGACTGATAACAACCGAGCAGATTTATTCAATTTCTATCTTTCTTCCTCTACATTTTTATGATTAAGTATTCCTTCATACATACCGATTCGTTCCATATCTCCTTGTAGTGAACAGAACACCGGTGGGGACAACCGAATGTATCTAGCACAAAATTACAGAGTTACCCGGTAAAATAGAAAAACCATATAGTAAATCGTTAATTTGCAAAATATCATTCCATCATATCAAACCGGATTGTTGCTGTTGCAATCATCAATCCATTGTCTCACATTTCACTGTTCATGCGTTTTCGCACAAATTGCATTGTGTTCCCGCTCCTCCTTTCTTGGTCTTCTCCCACCTTCTACCGACAGACATTACGCTTTTAACTCGCGTCATATACTACTTACATCATCATAAGTAGCACGCACCACATCCTTACCATATTCTCTAACATTGAATCTTTTTTATTATTGTTGATACCACATTATTTTGATAATTTTGTTATTTATCTTGTTAATTTCAACTTGTCAAATTACTATGGTATAGTAACTTAGATCAAGGCATATTTATGACAGACCGTAACATTGATTAAAACAGACTGATTGAATGAATGATAAGAAAATATTTATAAAATTGAATGAATGCTTGTAATTCACAGTCCAACAGAATCCTATTGAAATTTATTCCGATTAACACTGAAGATAGACATATGAAAAACTCTTTTTTTTTCCAAGTAGACTAAATTTTTAGATAATATAACAACTATGAAAAGAATCATATGACAAAGAGAAAAGAAGAAAGAAAACACTCATCAGAATTGACTTGAATTCACACTGGAATAATGTACATTTTATTAATTAAAAGCAAAGAGAAAAAAGTTATCAGAATTTTATGCAAATCAATTTGATTTTGATGAAAGATTCAGTTAACCAGCAACAACAACAACAAAAAACGGAACAGAAAGAATAAAAATTACAAAAGATATACACAAATAATGATCTTTACAAAGAATAAATAAATATTTAATGTGATTAATTATCTACAACTATATTGTCTACTTATTTTTCACTTGCTAATAAAGAAAACTCCTGTAGATATTGAGTTTGATAATAAAAAAAAGTTAAATGGAAAAACAAAGTTGAATGGTAGTTTCTCTCTTTTTCTAAGACATTATTTTTTAAGACCATAAATCGATTGATGTTAGATCATCATTGGAAACCTGGAAGCACTGAACGGCCGTTTTGTCCTAGTATAGGACTCTTCAGCAGTGTGCATCCACAATCCCGCAAGCAGGATTAGAACCCAGGAACCTCGGTCTCGCGCACTACTGAAGAGTTCTATACTAAGATGAAACGGCCGTTCAGTGTTTCCAAGTTTTCAATGATGTTCTAACGTCGATCGATTCATGATCTTAATCAAAAACATAACAATCTCCATGACCCTATACTGATATTATGTTTTTGCAATAACACGAATAATCGAAAGTTGATTCAATATCAAAATAGATACGACTTATCCTACTAGATAATAAGATGGTAATTTTTTAAATAAAAAGTAAATATATCTCAAGATATTTTCATTCGGCTAATGATTGACAACTGAACGAAAACAGATACGGCGCGCTGTAATTAAAGATGTAATTGACAATTCTTATATTATGATTCTGATCTACTTGATTAATCTAAATTAGATTTCACTGTATATGCTTCTTCATTGTTGATTAAATTTGTGTCAGTATGGGAAGTGATCTAGTATAGTGATCTAATTAATGATTTTAGTGTATCGATTGAATGTTCTGTTACTACCATTCATTGTAATAATTTGAGTGCAAGAATAGAAAACCTGTTTTTTAAAATCTTATATCAATAGTGGAAAGAAAAGAAAAAGACAAAGTTATAGATAGAATACAAAGAAAAATTGGACATTCAAAATAGATCATCTGCAATGCTCAGAGGTGTGGAAATAACTAGAAGAAAATGAGCGATTTCCGATATTCTCATTGTTAAGTTGATCATTTGAGAAAACAGTGGTGTTGATTCACATCAACAGGTTTGAATAATTTTAAATATTCCAATTAATTATCAAGTGAATGGATGCAAGCAAATTTAAACAACCCAATAATAAACGTACATACATTGTAATATAAAGAATAAATAAATGATTAAGTGTAAATAATTAAATTCAATAAACTCAACACTAAATTGTATAGAGGAACAGGCAGAATATTTGGTCCATTCAAAATCAAATAACATTGAAATCATGCACCCATCTAGGTTAGCCAATCATTGAAAATCTGCAGGCACTGGATAGGAGTTTCGTCCAAGTACGTCCAAGCACACACCTAAGACCATACAACGGAGAGTCAAACAAAGGACCATAGGTCTCGCACGAATGATTAACATCTACACCACTGAGCCCGTATACAACAGCATTAATGCCTGAATTCAATCAATCAACGAAATTGAGTGATGATTGTCTATTGTCTTCGGTGTATAACTGCCTAATACTTGATACGGTTTAGCTCCAGTGCTTTCAGGTTTTCAATGGTGGTTCAACTTAGATCGGATCATGATTCCAGTGAAATTGAGCAATATCCACAACCACATAGTGAAAAATCAAATTACATTTGATTATAACAATGCTAAATCATTTATGGTCACGGTGATTATTTGTGAGACATTAACTGTGTGTATTTGTGCGTACGCTAGTGGGTGTGTAAAATAGGGAATTTGTAATGCGAAGGAGTAGAATTGAAATTTGAATGTGTATGATTACTATTGCTATGGGAAGTAAGTAAAATTTAATGTGGTTGTCCGGATAAACGGTTCAAATTGAATGGATAATCAGGACATCCTTTATATTAAGAGCACAGGGACTAAGCATCAAATGAATCGTTTCACATATTCGGCTTTCTTGATCATAGTAAAAAACCTCCCTGAATTATTTTGATAGTCTCAATATCGATATAGTGGTTCTTAAAAATAGCATGAATGACTATTGTCAATTTTCCAATTCTACAGGAATATTAAGAAGTCTTTCTTGTACAGGGAAAGCTGTCATTAAGTGTGAGTCATAAAAAGACTCCGCAATATACAATGTATCACACTCGACCCAACGCAATATGTTGACGCAATTGTGTAGAAAAAAATGATCTTTTCCTTTACTCGGACGAAAGAGTTTCGAAAAGTGTTGGTTATAAAAAGCTTTAATTCTGTGTAATTTCAATATACGTTGTAATCCATCAGCTGCAACATGGCAATAAAGTAAACTCTGTGATATCAATCCACGATATTTCATTCGAATTTTTATTTGGAGATAGATTAATTCGTTTCAATAAATCACAAGATGTTTATTATATTATTTTATTCCGTTAGCTTATCTTTTTTGGTAATGATATTGATAGCTATCGTAAATAGATTTAGAGCCATAAAAAGCTTTTGCACTGAATGGATGTGGGGAGTTAGAGCGTTTTAAGAGCTCATTAAATTTATTGGGATCTTTACAACATAATGATGAAAATATTCATCTCAGTTCACCTTCGTAGTTATGAGTGTCACTTTCTATGATAATTTTGCCTTGAAAATATCGCAGATTGTAAGCATTTGATGAGAATTTGGATAAACTAAATGAAATCATATTATTATGAAACAATCTATTTTTTTTATTTCTCCAAGATAATAAAGAGATTTATATGTGTAAAGTTGGTGTATCAACATGAAAGTGCCAGTTCCCAATAGATGATTAACTGTAGATTTCCATTAGAATCCCTTTTGACTAGACAGTCTACAAATAATAGTTCATTATGTTGAAGCAATCATCAATATATTTGAAATTTTAATAGTTAAGATCATGAGTCACCATGGAAAACATGGAAGCATTAGACGGCTGTTTCGCCCTATTGTGGGACTACTCAGAAGTGCGCATCCACGATCCCGCCTCGCGAGCTTCGAACCCAGGACTTATCGGTCTTGCGCGCGAACCCTTAATCTCTTGAAATTGCCAAGTCTAAACTGAACAACGATATTTACATACTCCATTATTTCTACATTTTATTATTCTTATTAGACTTTTTCTAATCATTAGGAATTTTATATGAATAAGAAACAGTAGACCTATATTTTTTGTTAGTTAAACATTCTTAACCAGTCAATTGTATGTATATTAAACTAAACTTAATGGAATTAAAATATTTAAAACGGTAAAAATGATCATTGTCATTCATAAAATAATTTTCTTTCCTTTTTTATAATAAAATTTCAACGTTTAAATAATTCAATACACTTACAGAAGCAGTTTCAGCATCTTTAGCTACCATATGAGTGTAGTTAATATTTACCAAATCTAAACCACTGCATATTGTCACAATACGATCCCATGATTTGCCAGATTTTTCTTGAATTTGTGCAGTCAACTTTTCATCCTTTTAACAACAAAGAAGAAAATTAATACCGAAAAAAATGGAAAAATCGTAAAATTTACCCAATTATTTGTTTACAATTTTATAGAAAATTCAATCATAGTTATATGTAATTGGTAGTATTCAAAAAGGTTTTAACAAAACAATTCCAACGTTTAAAGTTGATCACTAAAGAAACATATGCTATTGATTAGAACTAGTATTAACTCATATTAATATTTGTACTAAACAAATACATGGTTCTTTTTAGTGATAGGATCTCCTTCTTTTTTTTTATTAAATTATTCTGTTGGTTTATTCACGATGATGTTGTTCGGTTACAAATATCTTACTAATTAGTTGGAGTTTCAATATTTAGGACTACTGAAATTTGTGCAAATATACTGAATTTCAAAAAAAAAGAAATAAGTCTAACGAATAGTCATTTTTATTTAGCCGAAACAGACAAAGTAAGTTTACATTATAGTTATAAACTCCGCTTAATAAGTGTATCAAACAAACCTCGCTTCTAATGATAAGAAAAAAAGACTCATTTTATAAATAATTTTCCTCCGTATAAGAATAAACAGCAGTAAAATTATAACCTTTTAAACAAAATAATTAGGTTTTATGATATATTTTTAGAAATAGAATAGGATTCCAGCAACATTTACATTATGTAAATATGTATAAGACTGAAAGATGACAAATTAACTGAAGTATTTTGTTGTATTATACTATTTGCTTTACAAAACAAAAATGACAAATAGACAGAGATAGATGGTGCCTAGCAGCGGAATCCAAGACGCAAGTTTCGTCCTATTTCATACTCGTCAGATGATGTCCTCTCCGGGATTCGAACCCGGTGCCAGTCGCTTCAAACGCCATCGTGTTATTCACTTAGTTTCTGAGTCCAGATAACCACTAGGTTGTACAGCTGGGTCCAGGAGTGGATGTCAACGTTATGATGAAGGTACATAAAGCTGACGAGTCCCAAATCGGACGAAATTCACGTCCTGGATTGCACTGCAGCAAACATCCATCTTTGCTTATAATGCTTGTGACTTAAGGTAATATTCAGGAAATCTATACAGGATGCACATATGTCAATAAGAGACTGACCAATTGCAGTCCCAAACATCAATGGGAAGATCCAAACAAGTAATACAAAAATGAATTTAAAAAAGACAAACCTAACAATCATAAAAATAAGTAATAATATATTTACAACTAAAGAATTTTTCTAAAAACAATCCATAAAACTGTCATCATCAAAAAAATTACTGATTATACTTGGGTATATTACATCTTTAATGAACTCTTCAGATGATAAATAAACAAGTTGTACAAGTTATGAAATTATTATTGAATATATAGATGAACAAACGTTACAACAATCAAATTAGTTCATTAATAACTGACCCAATTATGCGCTTTTATCATAATCAATAAAAAATAAACAACGTACTTACTGCTTTTACTACATATGCCATTAACTAATTTCATCTAACTAAATAGGAAGTATTGTCTTGCTTTACATCACATTTAACATAATGTTCACAATCTTTGTCAGATATAATTTATGCATAAGCTAACATATGTCATCAATGAAAGTTTTCTATTTATAAAATGAAAAAGTATGAGGATATTATTACAAATACAAAACAAATGATAGAAACCGAGTAGTAGCCACAAAAACATTTACATAATGCTAATTGATAAATTACATATGATATAAGGCTATCGACGCCATAATGTCAACTATTGATTAATATTCACTAAGGTTTGAGGAAATGAACGGAATAATATGATGACTTAAGTCTACTAAATTAGATTATTTTACATTATTTTGCTCTAGTAAACGTGATCAAGACTGACAATAATCGATTGTTCAAAAATGACTACACTATGAAAACTGGTTGAAATCCTGCAAGCTAGTAGGAAGAAAAACACGCGATTACAAAAGAGTACTCAACATTGCCCTTTATTTATTATAGTTGCAAGCACCAAATACCAGATTACTTCATCATTCTGAAATGCATCTGTTGTCTAAAATAAAGGAGTTAATTGTGAAAAAAAATTGACGGGTTTTAATCGTTAATATAGAGGATTTCATCGTTGATCAGTATTGAAAAGATTCTAATTGTTATATCATTAGTATAACGTCAGTAGTGAAACCATTAGTGAATGTCAAAGTAACCCGTAATTAATATTTTATTTAAGCATTTATCGTATACTTATTTAAAAAAAGACATTTACAGCAGACATAGTAAATAAACAATTCGTTATTACTTAATCAAGTATTTTGTAAAAGTTCATGTAGTTTGATGATACTTTTAATCACAAACTGATAATCATTAATTACTTGTATTGTCATAGTTTTTAGTTTTTTATCATTACTCAAAATCAAATTCACAATTTTTTTGAGTTTCTCTATTAGCCCCTAATGTTTCGTTGCTGAGTTCAAACCAATTAGTGTTTGTATTCCTAAATTCAATTAGCTTGTAGCGATACAACAAAATTTTTAACAAACACTCTCCAGTATCTTATCATTTTAATTTTGAGTAAAAAGTCATTACAGGATATAAATCAGTGAATATTTGTAAACCGCACAGTCCAATCCTGACTAATATTAAAATAGAATAAAGTAAGCTTATAAATCAAAGAAGAAAAAAACTATGAAAAGATATATACCTATGATCATCTTGAAACTACTGATAATATATCATAACATTTAATTGATGTTAAGTAATTAAAAATTTGATAATTTCATCATGTCTACAGAAGGTACAGAATAAAAAAATTAAACCATAATTAAAATTCGGCACTCTTTAACTTTATTTTGTCCAGTTTCTAGTGCTTTCTTCTTATTCATTATTATCATTACAATTGTTCTCAACATCATCTTTCTATTGTTATATGGTTTGACAAATCTTCATCTATTTGACAAGCGAAACTCTACAATAGTAACAATTATTATATTGTTACAGTCACTTAGTTACAAAACACATAGTATACTTTGCTTATGATAGTATTAGCATTAAGGGCGACCTGCTTGAGCATCTGGACTACCTGTTCCTGCCATTTAGATATTTCAACAAGTTATCTATTGTTGTTTGTTTTAATATATCATTATGTTTATTATTCGCATAACCTATTCTGTTGCGTTTCTGAAAAGTGTACAACCTTTCGTTGTCAAAGTTACAGAAAACTCAATAAGAGACAATATGGTTGCTGGCAATATACAACGAAAAGAATGTACATTATTCAGTTTTTCATTCACTGAAGTGCTAACATCTAACTGGCGATTCCTCAATATTTATCGCCAGGACCGACCAAGAAGAAAGAAACGGAAACTTGTTGAAATACTTTTCGCTGAGAATTCTATATTGTACCAAAATTATAATATTGAATAAAGCTAATAATAATAATAATAATAATAATAATAATAATAATAATAATAATAATAATAATAATAAAGTGAATATAATTGAGGAAACCATGAATTTTTTTCACCGATTATCATTTATTATGACTACCACTGTTTGTTTATTTGTTTGTTTGCTTTCCATAAACTTCGAAAAAAAGAAACAAATTACAAACGGAAAAAATAAAATGATAAATTGTTCTCTCCACACAGTAAACGACTATGTGTAATACGTACACCTGTTAATCTAAATACGGAATGGATGGATAGATAGATAGATATAATCCCGTGCATCTGGAATTTGGATCAAACCCTTCGTTTATATGGAAAGAAAATAATTAAACTAATTACTACTACTAGAGGTACAATAGTTATAATAAAACTAATAATAATAATAATAATAATAATAATAATAATAATAATAATAATAATAACAATAATAATAATAGTACTGACATGAGAACTAATAAATTAATAATACACTATTTTCCCTCTAAAAACAAACTGATTGTCCCTAATTATCAACCATTTGTTATGATCATTCATGAAAAATAGAAAGGATAAAATGAATACCAACAGAAGATAACAGATCATCAATGAAAATTATCTGGTATATATATATATATATATATATATATATATATATATATATATATATATATTTATATATATATATATATAAACCGGAAACTATTCCCAAAATCTAATCACAATGTATACAAACCAAATTACTAAACTACTGATAGGTAGACATATAATTTCGTTTTTTCTTTCTCTACAGATTACAGGAAACAGTTATTATGCCTGAGTACAAAATTATTCTCTATTAATGTATCTTCATGAAATCATCAGTTATAAATTTCAAATATCTACTGAGTTAGACTGAATTAGATATTCTCTACATTTTGAATAACTAAATTAATCTGTATGATCTAAACGTATTTTCAACTATTATGAAACATAAATGTTTTAAAGTTAATCCAGTCTACGTAAACATTTAGGGTTTCAACGTATTCGAGATTTTTTACGAAAAAAGATTACTTCAATTATATATTTAACTGCCGGACAGAAGTTCTGTAAGATAGAAAAGTATATGTTTACGATGTTAGTTAATTAGAAATTAGATATGTATAGAATTGTCATGTTTTCAGTTATGTCATGTCATGGTTTACTGTGTAGTAGTACATAAACCAGTTCAATTTTGTTGTACTTTATTTCTATTTTAATAAACCAAGGTCACCAGAAAAGTACTCATGTAAAACAAATAATACTACAGTGATGATACAAAAATAAACTCTATATAAGATACCAGCCTGGATTTGAACTACCATGATAGAACAGCAGAAAAATTTGACGATTGGCGAAAGCTGTATTAGCAGGTTTGAGCTATATGGAGCAAGTACTATAATACCCGTGAAACAGTCTATAAGCTCAATGAGAAGCAGATTAAAAATTATCAAATATTCTTGAAACTTCGGTCGGAATTCGTTAAAGGACAATTTATCTGGCTCATTGTTCCAACAAATTCAAATGTACTTTCCAGTTTTGCATTATCAACGAATACCACTCGACATTCAAAGGAAGAATGAGTGTCAAA